TTACTGTTGTGGGAGTTTCTCTAACCGACAACCATCACTTAAGAACTATAGTGATGATACAACGTTATTAGCCCCACGCTGCCCGGGCCATCCTATACCTTGCCATGGTATAGGACCTGAACTACTAAGTGGATTCACTAGTCTGTGCGAAAAGGATTCATCTAAAAAGTATCTCTTTTCTACCCATGATGGCTACATGGTTTATGGCAGGGGTGGACCCACGTTGGTTCCAGGGGGTTCACCCGAACCCCCTCGGCAAAAAATTACACTGTAATATAAGGTAATTTTCTGTATTTATTTGAATATATATATTTTGAACCCCCTCAATGACAAGGAGAAAGAGATAGCCCAGTGGTATTTTCCCTAAAAATTAAGTCTCATGTTGAGGGATCGAATCCCTGCATTAGTGTTTTATTTTTTTCTTTTTCAGTTTTATTTTTTTAAGGTTTCAGTTCCGTTTTCACGTTTTTTTTAGTTTTTTATTTTATAAAACATGCTAAAAGTGTGGTTTTAAACCCAAAAAAATTCAAGGGTCCGCCACTAAAACTAAATACTACTACTTTCTTGAAATTTTGTTTTGTTGGCTTATATATACACGTTTATACTTTTATTTTTCGAACCCCCTGAACGAAAATCCGGGGTCCGCCACTGGTTTATGGAGACTTGAGTTAATGTAAACTTGCATCCCCATATCGGTGCTCAATACTACTCCCAAAAATATAGTATTAGCTCTTATGTTTAAAAACATACTTTTTCTGTGATTTGAGATTAGTGATCAAAAACATAGCTCAAAGGCTATCTTGGAAATCTCAGTTTGCCTGCTTGCTTCATTTAAAAAGCTATTACTCTTTACTGAAAACTAGCCCGAAGGCTCTTTGGAAATCTCAGTTTCCGTTCTTATTTAAATGTGAAAAATATTTTAAATCTCTTTGGGAATACTTAGTCCCCATATACTTTTTGAAAAAATGAACTTCAATCTATACTCTTTACTCTTTACTCAACTTGAATTTTAAGTCTTAAAACAAGGTTAAAAGCATTTGCAAAAGACTTCTTGAAAAGACTCTGAAAACTTCCTAGACTTGGCTCTTGACTTTTCTTGAATTTGAATTTATGGATTCAAGGTTATGATTCATGTTTATGAATGATTTCTAGGTGTTTAGAAGTAATTTAGAGTAGTTAGAATCAATGGAAAGTGTTAGGACACTTTAGAATAACTTAAATAGGTTAAACGACGAAAAACTGGTGAAAAACCTCGATCCGGGCGCGTCCCTGGAGCGCCGTGCCAGGCCCCAACTTACTGGGGATTGTTTTGGGTGCACTGCAGGCACGCCACCCCAGCCTCCTGGCACTATGGGGGGGAGACGCGCCTAGCCCTCCCCAGGTGCGTCTGGCGATTTTTTCAACTCGTTTTCTGATCCTAAATCATTTTAATCTGATTCTTTTTCCAAAATTCACCTTAGATTCATGTACCCAAATCATATGGACAAAAATCTAACCCAAACAACTCAAGGAAACAACACTTAATCATCAAGAAACTCCTTAATCCCAACTCATATTCAAGAACGAAATCAATTCAAGAACAACTATCAAGAACATAAATTTCTCAATCTTTTTAGGACGAAAATACGTTGAATTAAACATGCTTGGCACGTGGGTGAACTAACCCAACGCTATGTGATCTCACATACCTTGTAGGGATCACCCCCAACGAAAACCACATGCTAATCTCGATGAATCTTGAACGTTCATGCTTCCCCTTCTCCTTTCTCTTTTCTCCAAGCCCTAGCGTAAATTCCAATTTCCTAAAACTGACTAAATTTGATTTGACCCAATTAAACTCTTAAAACGAATTAATTAAGTTGGGTAAAGAAAAGACCAAACTACCCTTCAAAAAAATCCGGATTGGACTTTCCTTATTCGAACATCCCAACTTTCGAAGGGAATAACTTACTCATACGAACTCAGAATCGCACAAACTCAGTGACGTTGGAAAGATCATTCCAAGATCTTTCCTACCATATCTTTAAGTACCTCTAACTCATCCTGACCTAGAAGTTATGACCGTTTGAAGTTGGTCAAAACTCAACTTTTCCTAACTTAAACAAATTTCTAGATTTGTCACTATTTCCAAAAATGATTATTTCAAGTTCCTAGCTTCTTCCTAGCTATTTCAATTTGCGAGATGTTACACAGAACATCGAAATTAGAGTTTCAAACCCCCATTTCACAACACACCTTCAACCCATGACATTCAAAAGCTACCCGTCCACACTAAGATTAGTTCCGGGAGTTCTACTCGCCCGAATTCTATTCCATAAAGTCATACAGGTTCCTCAATTTCTTAGGTATCTAATCATGTGATCAATTTCATAATTAGATCCCCCATTCATTACCAGATTTCCCTAGACCTCACTGACTCTGATTTCTTCCAAATTTGGACTAGGCTAGGAATTTTCAAGTTACGACTCAAAAGTTTTCTAGCCCCATTCTTTCCCCATTGGCTTTTCCCTAACGACGGAATCAGGTCGTTACAATAGATACCAATTTACCCATCACTCGTCCCCGAGTGATCAACTAGGAAAGACTGGCTAAAGTAAGGGTAGAGTAGTACTTGAATCGTTGAACAACTGGGGATACTTGTCTCGCATGTCCCTCTTGGTTTCCCAAGTAGCTTCCTCCATTGGACGATGTTTCCATTGAACCTTCATGCATGTATTTGGCATTTTAATGTGTTTGGCATTTTATTTATGCATCCTTATATCCACCATATAATTATTCATTTCTTGTATACTTACATGTCCAATAATTATGTGGGGATCTCTTCTTCTTTTTTACCAAATGTCAGAGCAATTGAGCAATTAGTAGCTTGGACATATAATTTGGAATTTTAAGTTTAAGTTGTTTTTTGAAATATTATTTTTAAATAAATTTGTATAAATTTTAATTTCAAATCATGATTTCAAGTTTCAATTCCAAATTCTTTAAAAAGTAAGATTTCAAACTTCAATTCCAAACTCTTCAAAATGTAGGATTTCAAATTTCAAATTGTGATTTTATTTTTTTCTTAAAATGTAAAACTTTACTCATGAGTTTATATTTTATATATATATATAAGGACTCATGACGTGAATAGATTGTTTGTACCATATGAAAAAATATCGTACTCTCTCCATTTTATTTTATGTGGCACCGTGTGACTTAACAAAATGAAGATTTATTAAACTTGTAGTTGATGTACCGAGGATTTACATTACGTTTAATGCTTTAAATTTGAAATTTGTGTGTGTCTTAAGCATTTGTTAGTAGATGTGATGATATTTTGCTTGTATTTTGCAGGAAATAGATTTTTGAGCAGTCAGGATGAAAAGAGATGAAATATAGAAATATTTTAATATGTTAATTGAGTACCAAATTTAAGAAATATAGAAATATTTTAATATGTTATTAAACTATTTTTAAAATAAATAAAATTTTAAATTGAAGAATATATTTTTATTAAAAAATTGTAAAATATGTGGGATTCAACATGAATAAAAAGTTGATAGTGTTATAAATATTTATCAAAATAAGAAAATATGTTTTTTTAGGATTGACTAAAAAAAGTGTCACATAAATTGAATATATATAGTAATAGCTCTGACATTATTGGACCTTTACGCCTTCAATAACGACTGAAAAACATTTACATATATCAACTTTATTTTTGACAAATTTCTAAAATAGAGGTATATATTATAACAAATATCTAAAAGATAATTTATTTATATTGTAAATGAATTTTAAACTATAATTTAGAAGCTTGTCTAAAAATTGAGCTTCAACCCATATAAAATATTTATATTCACACCGCAAAAAATAAGAAAATAAAAAGGATGAATTTTATCTTGAAACAATATATATATATATATATATATATATATATATATATAAGAATTCCTTACGCGCTTTAAAAAGGGAATAATATCTCATCAATCTGTCCGGTTAGTATTTTGTGTTTAATTAAATGATACATGAAAAATAGATTGGAGTGTTAAAATGGAACAAGATTGTTGAAATTTAAAAGCAAGTTAAAAATGATGTGTTTGACCCAAATAAAATTAAAGAAAATATGCTATGTCTAATGTCTTTACACCTATATTATGATACTTGTTTAGTATAATATGGTCCTATCTTCTAGGAATTATATCTCTTCGCTTCAACTTTAACATCAACATGAATTAAAAAACAAAGAGAGAAGTAGTGTGAACATCTTAAATTCGACATGAATTATTAGTTTTGACTTCGAAATATTGACAATCTTATAAAGAACACTCCTCTATTTGACTAATTATGAACTTAAATACACTTTTGATCTTGTCACATGGGTGAAATACACCCCTAAATTTTCGTCAAATTTATGGATGTTTTCAACACTTCACTCGATATTTTGTTAAGAGTCTCACGCTTCTACAAGAATTTGAGACCATTTGTTATGTCATATGGTAGATCGGGGGTGTATTTAAGTTCAATTAGTCAAATAGATGGAGATCCCTCAAAAAGTGAAACAACCTCTATTACCTACAAACCTTCTATCTTAATATGAGTCTTCTATACTCTTCTATCTAAGGTTATATCTTCGTTAATATAAAGTTATGTAATTTCTAATCACCTTTCCCCAATACTTCTTTGATCTACCTCTACATCGATCTCCTCATATCTTTTATAATCAACCTCTCTCACCTCCTCACTTTGATGTAGACACACATATAATTAATTAGTGTCAGTTATATTTCTCACATAACTGATACTAATTATGTGAATTGTTTTTTTATTCTTACAAGTTAGTGGATTCAAAAGCATAATAGTTGAATCCCCCCCCCCCCCCCCGCCCCTCCCCCCCAATTTTTATTTTTTTAAAAAAAACTTATATAAGTAGGTGTTAGTTGCGTAGACACATCATTCATGTTCTTCTATAATTATTTCATCAATTCTTTGTACTAGCCATGAGTGACACAAAAATCATAAAACTAAGTTTGATTTTCTTTATGATCTACTTAGTGAATTCTAGCCCACCTGAAGATCCCATAAAATGTTCATACAACACAAATTTTAATTGCACCATTACAAACACTTATGGCACGTTCCCAGATCGAACCATTTGCAAGGCAGCTGAAGCTGTTTTTCCAACCACAGAAGAAGAAGTCATTTCTATAGTAGCAAATGCAACAAGGGAAAATCGAAAAATGAAAATCGCAACTCGATTTTCTCATAGCATACCCAAATTGGTATGTCTAGACAAAGGTGATCAAGACGGGTTACTTATAAGTACAAAATTCCTAAATAAAATCATAAGAATCGATGAAGAAAACATGATGATCACTGTTGAAAGTGGGGTGACATTGAGACAACTAATTAGTGAGGCGGGTAAAGCAGGTTTGGTCCTGCCTTACACGCCTTACTGGTGGGGTTTAACGATTGGTGGCTTAATTGGGACCGGAGCTCATGGAAGTTCTCTCTGGGGTTTGGGAAGTTCTGTACATGATTATATTGTACAACTTCGAATTGTTACACCAGCTGATGCGGCAAATAATTATGCTAAAGTCCGTATATTGGAAAATGGTAGCCCCGACTTGAATGCTGTTAGAGTGTCACTAGGGGTGTGTTTGGTATGAAGGAAAACATTTTCTGGAAAATGTTTTCCAATTTTCTCATGTTTGGTTGGGTTAAATGTTTTGGAAAATGTTTTTCAAATCAACTCATTTTCTTCAAATTTAAGGAAAATGACTTCCCTTCAAAACTTAAGGAAAACATTTTCCAAACTTCTCTTCCAACTTCAAACTACAATTACTTTTTTGTTAAAAAAATCAATTTATTTTATCTCTACCCTCAAACCAGCCCCCCAACCAACCACCCCCCCCCCAAAAGAAAAAAAAATTTAAAACTTGTTTTTAAATTCAATTTTTTTTACCCACCCTTACCCCTACCCCTACCCCCACCCTCTCCCAAAAAAATATTAAAAATTATTTTTAAAAGATATTTCTAATTTCAATTTTTTATTTTTTACCCCCATCCACTACCCTCGCCCCTCCCCCCCCTCTCAATTTTTTTTATTGTTTTTAAGAAATATTTTCAACTTCAATTTTTTATTTTTTCACCCCTACACTCTATCTCCCCCCTCCAACCCACCCACCCCCTACTCGCCAACCCTACCCCAAAAAAAAATAATTCAAGTTTGTTTTTAAAAAATATTTTCAATTTCAAAATTTCATTTTTCACCCTACCTTGACCCCCCCCCACGCACCTCCTACCCAGCCCCCACCCACCCCACCCCTACCAGGCCCCCCCCCCTCCCAAAAAAAAATAATTTAAGTTTGTTTTTAAAAAATATTTTCAACTTCAAATTTTTATTTTTTCACCCTACCCTTGACCCCCCCCCACCCACCTCCTACCCAGCCCCCCTACCAGCCGCCCACCCCAAAAAAAAAAATTAAGTTTGTTTTTAAAAATATTTTTCAATTTCAAAATTTCATTTTTTCACCCCTACCCTCGACCCGCCACCCACCCACCCCCTACCACCACCCCCCCCCCAAAAAAAATTAAGTTTGTTTTTAAAAAATATTTTCAATTTCAAAATTTCATTTTTTCACCTCTACCCTCGACCCCCCACCCACCCACCCCCTACCAGCCCCCCCCCCAAAAAAAAAATAAATTAAGTTTGTTTTTAAAAAATATTTTCAATTTCAAAATTTCATTTTTTCACCCCTACTCTCGACCCCCCACCCACCCACCCCCTACCAGCCCCCCCCCCCAAAAAAAATTAACTTTGTTTTTAAAAAATATTTTCAATTTCAAAAATTATTTTCTATCCTAGTAAAAATAAAAGATATTTCTCAAAAAAAAAAAAAATCATTCATAAATCAACCACTAAAAATCTTTTCCGGAAAATATTTTCTACTCACCAACCAAACATGAGAAAAGAAGTAAAAAATCAACTTGTTTTCCAGGAAAACATTTTATAGGAAAACATTTTCCATGGAAAACATTTTCCTTCATACCAAACACACCCTAGGTGTTCTTGGAGTTGTTTCACAGGTATATGTCTACTTTTGTTAATATATATCATCGGATCGATCGTTTGGTAGATTTTCACTAATTAATTATACATATAGTACTATTAGTTATGATATTATTAATCATATCATATATGAGTACGTATAATTAATAGTACATGATAAATCATATATATGTTTAGTTCTCTTTTAGATTTTGAATGACAAATTAAATCAAATCCGTATTAAATTTAGGTGACACTAAAACTAGAACGAGTGTTCAAACGTTCAATTACCTTTTCTGAAAGGGATGACTCAAACTTAGGGGAAGATGCAGTTACCTTTGGGAGACAACATGAATTTGCTGATTTTACGTGGTATCAGAGTCAACGCAAGGTTATTTATAGGATCGATGATCGAGTTCCTAATGGCACTCCTGGCAATGCCCTTAATGACTTCATTGGATTTCGCTCTACACCTTCATTCGTCCTCGCCATTTTCAGAACCCTGGGTAATAATTAATTACTCATAATTAACTTGCTTCAAATTTACTTTCTTTCACTTTACTCTACTTTCTTCGTTCACTAGAGGAGATACAAGAATCAACAAATGATGCTGGTGGAAAATGCGCAGTTGCAATAATAAACACTTCCATATTGAAGTATCTTTCTTATGGGTGGAGAAACAATGGTTAGTTAATTTTTTCATCATGCGATGTACAAGCAACATATATATATATATAGTTAATAATTCGATTGCATTATATTCTCTCTCTCAGGTACTGGCTATCCAATGGTTGGGTTTCAAAACCAAGTCCAAGCATCAGGAACATGCCTAGACAGTCTTGAAGGTGCAACATGCCCTTGGGACCATAGAGTTAAAGGTCTATTTTTTCACCAAACAACATTTACCATTAGTTTATCAAAAGTCAAAGGTTTCATTGAAGATGTCCAAAGGCTAGTTGCTTTAGAGCCTAAGGCACTATGTGTCCTTGACTTATACAATGGGATCCTCATGAGGTATGTTACAACTTCAAATGCTTACTTGGGTAAACAAGAAGATTCTTTGGATTTTGACATCACATATTACAGAAGCAAGGACCCAATGTCCCCAAGACTCTTTGAAGACTTCCTTGAAGAAATTGAACAACTAGCATTTTTCAAATATGGTGCATTGCCACATTGGGGTAAAAATAGGAATGTAGCATTTATTGGGGCAATCAACAAGTACAAAAATGTTGATAAATTCTTGCAAGTGAAACAAAGTTATGACCATTTAGGTTTATTCTCAAGTGAGTGGACAGATCAAGTATTAGGCTTAAAAGATGGGTTGAGCATAGTCAAAGAAGGTTGTGCTCTAGAAGGACTATGCATTTGCTCTAAAGATATTCATTGTGCTCCAAACAAGGGTTACTTTTGTCGACCTGGAAGAATTTACAAAGATGCCAGGGTGTGTACTAATCCATCGTTAAGCACTATCGATATCCAAACAAGGAAAACAATATGCACATCAATGTAACACTTTGTTTTGATGCTTGTTAGGTATTGTTTCATAATCTATCGTATCGTATTGTATTATGTTGTATTGTATCGTACTGTATTGTATTGTATTGTATCTTACTATATTATTTTAGTGAATAAGTGTTTGGATAGATTGTATCGTTCTCCGTTTTTACATAATATCACACATCCGTAATTTAAATGATAAACCTATAAGAAAAGTCGGCTACGAGGTAGAACTACTATGAAAAGGTAGGATAATAGATGAAATTTAAATACTCCCTCCGTCCCATTTTATGTGGCACTTTTCGCATTTCGAGATTCAAACAAGTCTAACTTTGACCGTAAGTATTTCATAGATCCTTTTTACATTTTGAATTATTAATTATTGTGACTTATAGTACTTTTTATGTAGTTTACAAATATATTAATTTCATTTCAAAAAATTGGAAGATTCCATACGCAAATGTCCGGTCAAAGTTAAATTCTTTGACTCTCGAAAAATGAAAAGTGCCACATAAATTGGGACAGAGGGAGTAATAAATAAAGACAAAATGAGAAGAAATTGTTAAGGTGATGACGCAATCACACCAAATCGATTGTTACATAAAATGGGTCGTTTCGTCGTTACCTAACAATGGATTTAAAAGATACGATACTGTCACGCCCCGAAGCTACCCCAGGACGCGGACACGGGACCTAGGATCACGAGTGACCCCAAGCTAACCATGCTGGCATATCATAAGCATACTGAATAAATTGAATTAGGAAAGTACTGTGCGGAAGCTAAATCATAAGATAAACTGAAATGATGGGGAATACCCATAAGCTAACTGAATATATAAAAACTGAGAGTTTAACAACAACTGAAAGGTCAAACTCTAATACTAAAGCTGAATCTAACTATGTCTAAAATAAGCCTCTAACTGACTAGAAGTGCTAGGACATGCCCAATCTAAATCTAGCAAAACAGAAACTAAAGACTGAAAGGAAAGGAAATAATCATGTCAATCGTCCTCGAAGAATGAGGACTCCACTACAAGAAAAATGTCAATTACATGGGGATTTTCCAAGGAATTATATACGAAAATTCGCAGGAAACTAAGTTTCCTACGAATTTTCCTATGAAAAAGAATCCAATGGTAAAACCTTTGTAGGTAATTATTTCTTGCAGATTCCAAAATCCGCAAATAATTTACCTAGGAATTTAAATTTCGCAGATAAATTACTTGGGAATTTTCTTGCAAATAATATTAAAAATATCCCAATAATTTTTTATAAAAAATATGAATTTTCTTAAGGACAAATTACTTAACTACACTCCTTTACTTACCTTAATATCCATTTATCCCTACTTATTTCAAAATTTTCAAAAATCCCTTATTTTACCTATGTATCCCGCACACAACATTATGTATCCCGCTATGTGGAATGTATCAAACACTATGTATCCCGTGCACAACGCTATGTATCCCGCTATGTAGAATGTATCAAATCTAATGTATCCTGTGTACAACGCTATGTATCCCGCTATGTGGAATTTATCAAACCTAATGTATCCCGTGCACAAGGCTATGTATCCCGCAAACATCATTTTTAAGGGATTTTTGGTAAATAGAAAACTAGAAGGGATAGGATGTTATTTAGTACTTATAATATGTGGTTCCTATAATTTATACTTTTCTTAATTTCCTATAAACAATTTAACTATTATCTTCTATTATTTATTTTGTTCATTAAACCCTAATCACATATTGACTTATTTCTGGGTTAATCTAGTATTTAACTGCACTGCCCACCCATTATATTACAACACAGGTTAATTAATCGCTGCACACCAATTATATTACACGACTTAGTTACAAGTAAATTAATCCCCACTCACTGTCCAACGCCTACCCTCTGCATATTTCAAATTGCATTCCATCATTGTTCTTAGTCAAAGCATTATAAATGCAAAACTATTGGTGTCTTCCATCGATGTGCTACAAGAAGTACCACTAACACCACCAACTTTTGATGTCTTCCTTCGATTTAATTAATTTTTAAAGCTAAATTTATTTAAATAAATAAGGTATTTAAAATATAATTTAGAAATTCATGATTACAGAAAAAATATTATAAATTCATGTCATATAAATATGGTTACAAAATATATCCTAAAATGTTTGCTAGCATTTATGTAATGTGTCTCTTAAAAAGTGAAACATAATCACTATTTATATATTTAAAATAAATCACTACCATCCAACATATCATGAAAATTTTAAACTAACACTTTCTATGACAGAACATTCATATCTAAGCATATTAAACACAAACAAAAATTAAATTATACATACAAAATCTTATAAATAAATAATGAAAAATATAAATAAATTTTAAGTGTAAGTGCAAAAAAGTTATTATCAATAATTGATAGTATATCTTATAAGGTATTTGTGACATTTATTATTTTAATTTATCTTTTAATAATTATATTTTAACATACTCAATTATATTTACAAATAATATTATGTAATAACTTACTATAGAAAAATTATATCATTTTAAATGTTTGCAAAAAGATATATCAATTGAATATACAAGTAAAAAACAATTCATGAGGGGTAATCAAACTTCACATTAATAATCTAAATAACCGAATTTTTCTCCCCTTAAAAATAATGTTTGACTTATTTAATAATACACAATGTAATGTAAAATAGTATTGAATCAAAATTAATTATATTTATGATAGTTATTTTTCTATTGGATGAATAACTAACCATATAATCTTAACCTAAAGTTAGAGTAAATATTTAACAATAAAATTCATTCTAATGTCATTATCATTTTTTATATTATTATAATTTTCAATTTTGTTAAATATTTTTAAGAAAATATTTAAGTAAAAATAATCCTTAAATTGCAAGAAAAAACTTTGAGTAAAATTATATCAAAAAAATTTGAAGTATGCATAGTTCCAAGTAAAATCCTTCAAAAATCACCAACCAAATTCACAACAATAAAATCCCCAAGTAATTCTTCACGTAGGAAAATTTCCAAATAAATCCCCAACAAAATTCGTAGAACATGAATCCCCATGTAATGTCACATATAAAATTATTTCTAGATAAATTTTCAAGTAACTATTTCTAGCTAAATTTGAAAGTAATTTTATGTAACGACCCGAACCGTCGTTAATTAGAAGGGACAAAAATTCGGGAAAAATCTGGGCCATTGTCCCGCCAGAACGGGCTATATGTCGCCAAGGCGGGGTAAGTTGGCGCCAGAGCGGGATAAGCGAGACAAAATGTAAATTATGTGAAATCATATTTTCTCCATCTTCCAAAATACCTAATTAAGTCGTAAAACACCCTAGAAACCTCAGAAAAGCTACTCTAAGCTTGGAAAGGAAGGAGAAGGACATTTCTAGCGTAAGGATGGTGAGATCTTGCGGATTCTTGGCCAAATTCATTGTCACGAGGCTCGGAGAACCCAAATCGAAGTCAAAACTTCGTGCATCTGCCTGGCACCCAAGTAGGCTAGATTTTATGAATTGAGTAATTATTAATTTGTGCTTACTACGTAATATATGGAAATCAATGGTAGGGTTGTGTGTAGACCTTCGTGCACCAAGTAAATTCCATGAGTAATCCCTAGAAATCAAAGTATGTGGGTGTATGCCTTCAAAAGAGGAGATACATGAATTGTTAGGGACTTTCGAATTGTTATCATGTATACAATTGGTTCAAGAATAAGACTAAGAAATCATGATTGGAACTAGATTTATGAATGCATGCTAGATTGAATTGAGGATTTATGATGAATGGTGACTAAACCCTAGAAGGAAGTACTTAGATGATGAACTAGGGCTAAGTATGGTCAAATTGATGTTTGTATATGAATGTTGCATTGTTGATCACACTTATTGTAATTGAGATGGGTAAACTATTATTGCCATGAAATCACGACTTAAATGTGTGATCTTGAAGATATACTTGTGATTGTGATTGTGATGTGTTGAATGGATCAGTTGCCACGTTCCGGCATAACTATTAGATCGGTTGCCACATTTCGGCATAACTATGGGATCGGTTGCCACGTTCCAGCATAACTAACTTGGATCGGTTGCCACATTTTGGCATAATTAACTGTATGGGTTTGGGTTCCATGAGAGGACCAATGATGTTATATAAAATATGAGATTGGGTGATTGTTCCTAAATATTGATGATATCGTATATGTTTGATATGCGCATGTGAGTTTACGTTGTATTGACTTGCTTATGTTGCACTTAGTGGGAACTTGTATGATGGTTTATATTTGATTGTTCGTTGTAATAAGCGAACCTATTGGGTATAGTGGAAGGGTAAAATTTTCAAGAGACGAGTAATAGATAGTAAGGGTTGTTCGTGTGTTGTAATGGCAAAGCATAGATGTAGCGTGAGTGGTGAAATATGCTTAGGTTGATTTCACCTTAGGGGAAAGAGATTGGGTTTAGTGTGAAGGGAGCGTGATGTAATTTATTATGTGACTATGGCTGGGTAATGTGATGGGAAGTAGGGATATGACGTGAACGGTTAGTGGAAATGTTGGTGGTTGTATTTGGGGGATTTCTCTATGTGGTAGAATGGTTAGGCTATGATCAAGTATCTGGTAGGTAGGTTGATTGAGAAGGGTGACAGTAGGTAGAATACTAGTTTATATTGGAGGTATTTCAAGAGAGGGTAGAGGTGGAGAAGCGAGTCATTTATTTCATGATCTTACTAGTTGTTTTCTTATGTTATGTGGTGGGCGTCGGGTTGACCGATGATGCCTACCAGTACGCGTGTTTGTACTGATACTACTCTTGCTATGTCTTTTGACATAGTCTGGATGCAGGATTGGTGACGTTTCATTAGGTGAAGGCGAAGAAAGTCTCCAACAGCTTCTATTCTTCCTTCCGCATGGTGGAAGTTGTGTCTTTTAATTATCATGTCCAGTTGTACTCTAAGTAGCTCTTGTTCCTGTTTAGACTAGATCATTGGGAGTGTT